AGACTCCATGTCGAAAAAGAAAAAAGAAGGAAAAAGATACAATTACTGAAAGTTTTTCCATTTAAAAAAATATAGACAATGTTATATCTAGAGCCCCTTCTGAATGCCAAGCAAAACATATTAAATAATAATAATAATAAAGTCCAAACTACATTCATAGTAGAAAAACTGTAGAAAATTAAAGAAAAACAATCTTAAAATTAACCACAGTTATTGCTGAAAAGAATTTGCTCATTTTTCCAGAGGCTCCACTCACAGCAAAACAACTCTGAAAAGCATGAAGCAAATTGGAGGATTCACACTGACTTCAAGACTTATTATAACATTACAATAATTAAATGGTGTGTTTTTTACAAAAGGATGGATAGATAGATAGATAGATAAAACAGAAGAGACAGTGGAGAGATAGACCCACACAAACATAGTCAACTGATACTTGACAAGAGATGCAAGTCAATGTAATGGAGAAAGGATGCTTTTGACAACAAATGTTGTGGAACAATTGGATATTCATATACTAAAAATTAAAAACACCCAATCTGGACACATTCCTCATATCTTACACAAAAATTAATTCTAAATAGATCATCAACATAAATATGAAAGCTAAAATTATATAACTTCTCAAAGAAAACATGTATAGCTTTGGGTCTGGCACATTTTTATGACCAAATACCAAAAGCACAATCCACAAAAGAAAAATTGATAAATTGAATTTTACCAAAATTTAAAACTTGTATTCTGTGAAAAACATTAAGAGACTGGAAGGATATGTCATACATATATACATATGTGTGTACATCTCTATATATGCATATTTAAAGGTGAGTTTATGAAGTGTTAACTCACACCATCACTAGGTCCTACAATAGGCCATCTGGAAGCTGAGGAGCAAGGAGAGCCAGTCCAGGTTCCAAAACTGAAGAACTCGGAGTCCAGTATTTCAGGGCAGGAAGCATCCAGCACAGGAGAAAGATGGAGGCTAAGCCAGTCTCTCTTTTTTACATTTTTCTGTCTGCTTCATATTTGCTGGCAGCTGATTAGATGATGCCCACCAGATTAAGGGTGGGTCTGCCTTTCCCAGCCCACTGGCTCAAATGTTAATTTCCTTTGGCAACACCCTCATAGACACACCCAGGATCAATACTTTGTATCCTTCAATCCAATCAAGTTGACACCCAGTGTTAACCATCACAACAAGCATATGAACAGATGCTCAACATCACTAGTCATTAGGGAAATGCAAATTAAAATTACAAAGAAATACCACTACAAATTTTTAAATGATTAAAAATTTTTAAAAAACATTTGACAATACCGAGTGCTGGTAAAAATGTGAAGCAACTGGAAAACTCTCATACATGGCTGGTAATAGCATAAACTGCTCTAGAAAACAGTTTGGTAGTTTCTTACAAAGTTAAATACCTAGATCCTGGTGTGCAAATGCCATTCTCCAATAAAAGAATTAAGACTCCTTGAATAAATGGTTAATTCCAATGTTGGGGTGGGAAAAATGTGAGTTTGGAACATACCATGTTGCCAGAAACTTAGGAAGTTCTTATGAAAAAAAAATGGAGTCATATTTAAAAGACATAAGAACCAATCTGAAACAGTTCCCAATTGCCAAAACTTCAGCAGGTTGAGTAAAAAATAATAACAGTATTGGAGTGTGACAGAAATACAAAATTTAACATAAAAATCAGCGAGTGCACAGGAACACAAATAAATGCTTGATGAAGTAAATAAATGGGAGAGAAGGAACAATTCTTTCTTAAAGAAGAATTCTAATTAATAAAGGTGATGGGAAAGAGGAAAACAAAAAATTATAATGCCACCCTAACGTTAATTGCTGCAGGCAGCATGCCCTCATGAATACTCAAATTAGTGGACAAGAGTTTTAAGAAAAACAAGATATTTGCATAGCTTCAAAGTATCTCCTACAGAATCCTTCTGTGGTGGTAATTAAAATATGTCCACAAATTCATCAAGAGTTCTCCTCTGGCAGGTGAAGTTTCATTCATCTCCCCCACTGAGTGTGGGGCCAGACTTACTTATAATTGATAGAGTATAAAAGGAAAAAAAAAGAGTAACTTTATGGTGGAGAGACCTGTCAGATATCACCTTAACTAAGTGATTATGTTAACATCACCAGTAAAAGTCATTGACATCACATGTCCCTGAAGTCAGAGGGGCACATCATCTCTGTGGTATTCTTCCCAAAATCCATTAACCTAGTCTAATTATGAGAAAACGTAAGACAAATCTAAATCAAGGAATACTGTAAAATACCTGACCAGGACTCTTCAAAACTGTCAATGTCATAAAAGAAAAGAAAAGACCAAGAATTTGTTTCCAATTGAAAGAGACGAAAGAAACAATGATTAATTACACGTGGTGTCCTGGACTGGCTCTTGAAACAGAAGAAAGGACATTAGTGGAAAAACTAGAAAAATCCAAACGAAGTCAAAAGTTGAGCTGATAGTATTGTAACAATGCCGGTTTCCTACTTTTGATCATTGCACCATGATTATGTAAGATGTAAAAATTAGTGGAAGCGGAGTGAAGGGTGTATGAAAATTCTCTGTATTATCTTTACAACTCATCGCTATGTCAAAAGTTATTTCACAATAATAAGTTAAAAATATAACCAAAATAAACTGGACTTTTAAAAGCTATTCCCTATGTCCTTAATGGGTCAGAATTTTCTTCATGAGCTTTCCTTAATTATTAGGTTGGTGCACAAGCAATTGTGGTTTTCGCTTTTTAAGTAATGACAAAAACTGCAATTACTTGTGCACCAACCTAATATTAGAAACACCCACTTGAATCTATCCGACATGTATTTAGGAAATTGGATGTGCCATTTAGGAACTGGTCCAACAGTGTTACTTTAAGAAGATCATCTTTTCACCCAGAAAGGTTATTTCATCCCCCCTCAGATTGTCCCTGGAAATTTCCATGAATGAAACTTTCCATTGCAGGAAGCACCTCTTTCATAAGCTGTGGCAAGCAGAACGTCTTCTGCAATGCCTTTGGTGTTTGTGGCCCCAGCTCCTGCCCACGGCCTCTGCAGCACCCCACACTGTGAAGCCAGACCCTGTCTGAGCTCTTTCTCATCCTGCTGCTCTGTCTCTGCTTCCCCTTCCTTTGTCCTCTCTGTCGCCCACGAGTGTTTCTTACATAGACGTTCTCCACAGTCTGCTGTGTTCTCACTCATCCTCACTGTTTATACTCTGACCCTCAATTTAGGCATAGGATCTGCAGATTTTCAAATCTGAGGAGAGGCGGAACAGCCGTTTCTCCTCATGTCTCTCATAAAGAGCTTCTCTGAGCTGATGGTCTTCATAAGGCCATTCATTAACCCAGCATTATGCACTGCCTCCTGTGTGTCAGGCACAGGCTAGGAGCTGGGAGTGGGATACAAGGATAAGCAAATCAAATGAGGAGGGACGAAACAGCCTCTTAAGGGACCATGTACTGTTTCTCCTCACACTCTGGGAAGCCTGGATCAGCAGAAGTCGGAGAAAGTCAGTGGCAAAAAAAATCGTCTTTAAAACCAAACTGAAGGTCCTGAGATACTACAGGCCTGCTTGTGCAAATGGGTAGAAACAAGCAGAGAGAAGCAGTTACCTTTTATGCTGTATTCAAGGGAAATATTTGTTCAGGAATACAGATTTTCAAATGAGATGCTAAAATTCATAACCACTCACCTAAAATCATTAATCAAGCCAGAAAACTTTTAAAAGTTCTTGCTTTGTTTTTAAAAAGCTTTAAGTAAAAACCAAATGTAGAGATTTTCTGAGACTTCTCACCTGTCAACCTTAGAATTACTTCATCATTATTTCAGAGTTATATACATTCATAAAAATTAATTTACTCTGAAATGAAAAGTCCATTTTATCATTATGTGTCCAATGCTGATGTTTTAAAATCAGAAAAAACTTCCCTAAGATAAAAGTGATACTTTTTGCCTTTCTTTTGGTCTTAATATTCCAAAATTAGATGAATTGGAGCATTGCTTTTACTCTCAGGTTCATTAGCTTACCTTAGGGAGTTTTTCCTTCAACTCTTATTTTCCTAGTTTTGCTTAAAATGAAAGGTGAGAGAGAGAGAGAGAGAGAGAGAGAGAGAGAGAGAGAGAGAGTGTGTGTGTGTGTGTGTGTGTGTATGATCCTGTGTATGATCATTTAGGTATAATTAAATTTATTACCTCTCAAGTAATTTACTTTGAAAAGAGAGTCCTATCTCTTGAAAATTAGTGTCTTCTTGCTTTACTGATTTTTCTTTAAAGGGTGAGGACATAAAAGGCTACCAGGAAAAAAATATCACAGTCGAATCAACCCTGCATTTAGTCTTAAGCACACAAAAGAATCCACAGGTTGAGGTAGCATAACATAGTGGGTAAGGAGAGGAACTCTAGGACCACGTGACTTGGGTTTCAATCCCAGTTCTATCACTTTCTAGTTGTGTGACGTTGGCCAAGTTATTTAACCTCTGTATGCCTCAGTTTCTTCATCTGCAAAACGGAGGTAATAAAAGTACATGCCATGCTCATAAGGCTGTTGTGAAGTTTAAATGTAGTAATTATAAATAAATCACTTGAACATTTCCTAGCACAAAATACAAAGTGCATTTGTGTGCGTGTGTGTGTGTGTGTGTGTGTGTGTGTGTGTGTGTGTAGCAGTTACTATTTTCAATCATTTTCTGCAGTCACAAGGTGAAACTAAGTTAAATGATGACTCAGTCAACCAATGTTCAGATTAACTGAAGCTACCAAAGGACATGGACCTCAGTACCATGTTAGCTGCTTTTAAAGAGAGTGTACTCAAGCACTTCCCTGGGCCTCATTATTGAACGAATACCAACATGTTCAAAAATAGGGAGAGGATTAGAAACAAAATCCTTCCAACATTTGCATCTCTAGATGTAGAGCTAAGGATTCTGAAATAAACAAATGGAGTGAATTTGGAAATGATGCATCAACTGCTTCCTCCTATGACATGAATACTGGGAGTTATCAAGAATCTGCCAACCAAACACTAGGGAGATATTTTCCTCCAGACACCAAAGAGAAGCAACAGCTCAGGATGACTAAACTCTGCGATCCCCCAGAAAGTAAATTGTCACCATTTCTCATCACCTTACTGTTAGCAGTTTTACTTGCTGAATACCTCATCGGTATCATTGCAAATGGATTCATCACAGCTATACATGCAGCTGAATGGGTTCAAAATAAGGCAGTTTCCACAAGTGGCAGGATCCTGGTTTTCCTGTGTATATCCAGAATAGCTCTCCAAAGCTTCATGATGTTGGAAATTACCATCAGCTCAAACTTCCTAAGTTTTTATTATGAAGATGCTGTATATTATACATTCAAAATAAGTTTTATATTCTTAAATTTTTGTACCCTGTGGTTTGCTGCCTGGCTTAGTTTCTTCTACTTTGTGAAGATTGCCAATTTCTCCTACCCACTTTTCCTCAAGTTGAGGTGGAGAATTTCTGGATTGATGCCCTGGCTTCTATGGCTGTCCGTGTTTATTTCCTTCAGTCACAGCATGTTCTGCATCAACATCTGCACTATGTATTGTAACAATTCTTTCCCTATGCATTCCTTCAACTCCACTAAGAAAAAGTACTTCTCTGAGACCAATGTGGTCAGCCTGGCTTTTTTCTATAACCTGGGGATTGTGGTTCCTCTGATCATGTTCATCCTGGCAGCCACCCTGCTGATCCTCTCTCTCAAGAGACACACCCTATACATGGGAAGCAATGCCACAGGGTCCAGGGACCCCAGTATGGAGGCTCACATGGGGGCCATCAAAGCCACCAGCTACTTTCTCATTCTCTACATTTTCAATGCAGTTGCTCTGTTTATCTACCTGTCCAACATCTTTGACATCTACAGTCTGTGGAATATTTTGTGCCAGATCATCATGGCTGCCTACCCTGCCAGTCATTCAATTCTACTGATTCAGGATAACCCTGGACTCAGAAGAGCCTGGAAGCGGCTTCAGCTTCGACTTCATCTTTACCCAAAACAGTGGACTCTGTGACCAGCACCCAAGAAGACCACAGGACCTAGATGTCTCTCTTCTCTCCTCTTTTCTTCTCCAACCCTGATCTGACCCTTTCATCTGATGTGGTTTTTTATACAGGAGACTGATCATTTCTCTTTTGCTTCATGGGTACAATCTTAGTGGTGCTTGTCATATTCTTTACCTGAGCCCTCTACCTCCGCTGGCTCTGTCTAAAGCAGTAATTCTATGCACTGGTTACACATTAGAATCTCTAGGGTTCATTTTTTAAAATACCAATCTTCATACCCAATCTCAGCTCTATTAAGTCAGAATTTCTAGTGTTAGAACTTAGACAATTGTCTAAGTTCTCCAGGTGATTCTGCTGTGCAGCAGGGTTGTATAGCCACCAAAATAGAAGAATGTTCTGAAACCTGAGTTTCTGACAACTCTCTTTCTCTCTCCACATGCCTTTTAAACACATTTAGATTACTTGGGAAGTTTTCTGAGCAGAAATTTAAAATGCATTTATCTCCATCTTCCAAAGATATAACCAAAATGATGTGGAACTATCAAAATTAATAATGCATAAAACATCTTTCAACCTAAAAATTACTAAGAATTTTTTTCTAAGCATGGTTGGGTATACATAAGCAAAAATATGTGCGAGAGGATCTTCATAGCTGCACTATTCATTCATGAGGGGAATTGAATGTCTGAAATGAATATTATGTTAATCTTTTTTAAATGAGATAGATGCAGGTATCCTGAGATGAAAAGATTTCCAATACATAGTACAAAAAGCAAGGAGATATTTTATGATTCCTTTTGTATTTCTTTTTTTCATAATATTTATATATTTGTGTGCATATATATGTACATACAGTTTCTGGACAAATATACCAAAAACCAATTCACAAAGGGCTTCTGCGTGGTGTCATTGGGTATCTGGGGAATAAATGAAATAGTTACAATTTATTTTATGCCTTTACGCATTGTTTGAGCTACTTAGAACACATATTCACTAATTTCAAAATTTTGAAAGATTTATATTGATTTTTATTAGAAAGAGAAATGGTAAGTAAAAAAGATTTGAGAGAAAGGATTGTGCACATTGATTTATTGATGGACTCTCTCACTATTGGTTTTTATTAAAAATGCAAACAAATCACAAATTAAGCATTAAGCGAATCACTCTCCTATCACTACCTCTTATTTTTCCATTTTATTTGCTCAAGGGTTGCCATGGAAACATCACAGGCTTTCAATCCATTGACACCTCTATATTCTCTGTCCCTCTATCAGGCCTCTCCTCTCTTCTTTTCATATTCAGTTTGGATTATTGGTCAATCATTATACTTACCCTTCAAAAATATCTTTGACATTTACAGATGAAATGAGCTGCATCTGTGATTTGCTTTAAAATAATCCAGCACAGGGCAAAGGAGTAGAGAATGGGGAGGTTTAGATTATTCTTATGTTAATGCTTTTTTAAAACAAGGCTTCTGGCATGTGAAGTTCTTCATACATTCTATTTCAGAATATGTTTGAAAATTTCCATAATATAATTTTTACATAAATGAATCATACAATAACTCTGATTTTCTGATGCTCCTAAATGTGAAATAATCCCACATTTAAATGACTATTTAACATTCTGTGTTTGCTTCTAAGCCGCTGAGTGTTACTCGAGAGTATTTCATAACTGGATGAGCTCAAGTTCCTACAAATTCATGCTCTTCAGCCTCAAATAAGTAACTTCATTGAGCATTTCCATCCCATATTTCCCTAGAGAAGTCACTCATTAAGTCTCCACAGTGACTATCTCACATCTTTTCCACAGTCTTCAAACCTTCAACCTCTCTTCTCCCTGACCCATTTCAGCCCTTGAAATCTTTGACAGGCAACAATAGGACAATCCTCTTTTTCCCATTAGCAAATCTACTAATCCACCAATTTCTGCCTATGTCCCCAATATTTCAATAGAAAGAGTGCTTTCAATGAAAGCAAATTATTAGACACATTTTAACTATGTTCTCCTCCCTCTATATATTTTCTTCCTCCAAGTTTCACTTTTCTATGTGTTTTGGTTTCTTTTCTTTCATGATTGAGTCTTTCCTTAAATATCTGATGATCTTTGAATGTCAGCACTAAAAAGTCAATTGCCAAATTTTAAAAATTCATTTTTAAACATCTTTTAGAATATAAAATTTATATTAAAACCTCTATGTTAAAGGCAGCTCAAAATTAGAACATCCAAAGTTGGGTTCTTAATTTTCCCCTTGAAACACATTTCCCTCTCAGTTTTCTCCAACTTATTAAATAGTGCCACATTATTTCCACTGGTGAAGCCAGATGTTAGGAACCATCTATGGCTGTGTCTTCTGTCTTACTCACTTCATGTAATTCATCAGTAAGTCCCTTGCTTCTGTCCTGTGACATGTATAAGTAGAGGATCATTCAGTTATTAGTTGAACAAGTATTGGCTGAACACCAACTATGTGGCATATTCTCTTTCAGGTACTATGTATGCAATGACAGGGCTCTTGTCATCATGAATCTTCTACTCTAGTGGAAAAGGACTGATAATAACAACCTAGAATGAATAGCACATCATGGTGGCCATGTTAGATCAGCCCAGTCAGGAAGAACATGGATGAGTAAATAAGATATAAAGAAGTAATTGTTAAAAATATAAGTCTAGATAGGAGGAATAAGTTCTAGAGTTCCACAGCACTGGAGGGTGACTTATAGTTAACAATAATTTATCGTGTATTTTCAAATTGCTAGAAGAGAGGATTTTGAATGTTTCCAACACGAAATGTTTGACGTGATAGCTATGCAGATTACTATGATTTGATCATCCCATATTGCATATATGTACCCAAATATCACTGGGTCCCATAAATATGTACAATTACTACATATTAACTAAAAATAAAAGAAAACTATGAAAATAAAACATTGTAAATATAAACCAAACATTTAGGATAATTACAAAATAAATATAAGGAAATCAGAACATATGAAATATTGATTTGATAAATAAAAGATTAAAAAAGTTAAAATGGACACAAAAACTGGTTCATTGAAAAATGACAGTAAAATTGGCATCATTAGCTTATATAATCAAGAAAGAAAAAAGGCATAAATACACAAAATAAGACATGAAGGAAAAATAACTACAAATCAGAGAAATTCCAGTACTTTTAAGAAACTATTTTGTTTAACTCTACACTACAGTTTGAAGATATAGATAAGATAGATGTTCCTAGAAAAATATATTTACTAAAATTGACTTGAAGAAAATCTAAGCAGAATGATCATCACAGTACTGAGCTAGAAAAAGTTGTGAAGAGCCTATCCTCAAGTAATACTGGCACCAGATGTTCACAAGGGAATTCTATCAACTTTTTAAAAGCAGATAATATCAAGGCTGTGTAAATTGTTTCACAGCATGAAAGTTAAAGGAAGCTTCCAAATTTATTTTGTGAAATAAATATAATTGAGATATCAAAACCTAACAAAAACTGGCTCCCAGAAAACTACAAATAAATCTCACTTATCCGTATTTATGCAAAAATACTAAATACAATTTAGTATTAAATTTAAATCCAGAATACAGGTTTATTCCATAAAAGTAAAGCTGGTTTAATACTAGAAAACATATAAATGTAATTTATCATAGTAATAATACTAAAGAGAAGAATCATATAATAATGTTCATAAGTGCTGAAAAATAAAATTCAACAACCATTTTTTTTTTTGAGACAGAGTCTTACTCTGTTGTCCAAGCTGGAGTGCAATGGCATGATCTCGGCTCACTGCAACCTCTGCCTCCCGGGTTCAAGTGATTCTCCTGCCTCAGCCTCCCAAGTAGCTGGGATTACTGACATGTACCACCAAGCCCGGCTAATTTAACAGTTTGCATCATTCTTAATGAGAAAACATTATTATTTCCATTAATTTCAGAAAAAAAGACAAAGATGTTTACACTCACCCTACTAACTGATATTATCCCTAGATAGTATCCAGTACAATCAGAAGTAAAATTAATTTAAAGGATTTTTAAAAATTGGAAGTTTCCTGGTGGAAGTGTCATTATCTGCAGATGGCTGTATAAATAAAAAACCCATGAGAAGTGACTAAAATATTATTATAAATAATAGAAGCATGAAGCATGGAATGAAAAGAATAAAGAGCAACAAAAGATAAGATGCTAGAGCAATAAAGTTAACAAAAAATGAGCACGACTGAAACAGGAAACCTACCCTGACTGCTTCATGGGACTCACAAAGGGGGTGGCTCGTTTACTCAGCCTGCAGCTCTCAATTCCTTCTGGGAAGGGAAGCATGCAGGTGAGTGGGTGCAGGGACCAGGATGAGTTCTTCTGGGTGCTGGCAGGAGCAGAACTCTGTGTGGCCCCACGGCAGCATCAAGGCGGGTACCCATGACCCCTGGAGCCCCAGAGGGCATATATTACAGTGCTCTCTTAGTTTTGCCATACATATGCAGCATGTGTTTAACAGCTCAGTGCGACAGCCCTCTGTACCCTGAGCTCTTGTTCAGCGTCCAGGAACAAGCAGGTCACAGGAACAAATTGAAGATGGTAAATGCAGGAGATTTTATTGCTGATATAAGTGGCTCTCGGTGGGATGGAGAGCTGGGAAGTAGATGGAGCGGGAAGATTGTCTTTCCCCAGAGATAGGTCATCTCGGGCCTAACTCTTCCCCAAGGTCCCGCCATCAAACCAACCCTCTGAAGACAAGCTGCTGCTTGCCAATGTCAAACTGCTTCTTCTCTTTTCTCCTTATCTGCTGCTCCACTGGCAGTGAAGCCTGGGGTTTTTATGGGCACAGGATGAGTGGGGGTGGAGCGGGACACGGTGATTTTGGAAAAGGCAACATTTCAGCAGGAAAACAGAAATGCATGTCCTCACTTTGGGCTGGGTCCAGGCTTGAGGGTGGGGCTTCAAAAAGGACCCCACCCTCTTCTGCCTAGTATTTTGCTGCCTCCCGTCCATATCATAATATTACTAT